TATATATATATATATATAGGATAATATCTATTATAGCTACTACATTTTACTGATCCTAGAGTTGTTAGAGTGTTTTCTTGAACTATATTTTGTTTATATAAATCCTCTCTGACATTGGGTAAGGACATTTTTTCAATAAACTCTTTTTAGATTCTGTGGCCTCTTAACAGGACCATCTTACAGTGTACATGAGTCCCAGAAGGCCAGTCTAATAGTTTGCTACATAATTACATTTTCAGGGCACAAAACAAAAACATGATTTCCATCATTTGGCTAATCAACCCTTTCCACTTTCCATAAGCTATTCAGGCTGTCTGTCATTCAAAACCATCATAAAATAGTGTAAAGTGAAAGCATTAATGATGATACATTGCTGTAAAAAAAAAAAAAAAGCTGATAAACCTGCTCGATGTACCATAAAGCATTTCAAATATTCAGCACAAAAATATTTTTGAACCAAACGCATCCTGGTGTTCATCCAGGATTGATATTGCCTCCGTGCAAATAAAACACGCTCCTTTTCACACTCATTTCTTCACAAGTGGTTTAGGCATTTCAGATTTTGCCATTACACATATGGCCAACACTGAGAGTAAAGTGCTCTGGAAGTTTTAAAATAATATAGAGAGAAAAAGGAAAAAAAAAAACTGCAAAAACATCCTTCTTTGGGATTCCTTAAAAGAATAGTCCTCCCAAAAAACGAAAATTTGCTGAAAATGTACTCACATTCAGGGCATCCATGATGTAGATGAGTTTGTCTCTTCATCGAAACAGAGAAGTTTACATTACATCACTTATATTACATTGGATCCAATAATGGATTCCTCTATAGTGAATGGGTGCCGTCAGAATGAGAGTTCAAACAGCTGATAAAAACATCACAATAATCCACAAGTAATCCACACAACTCCAGGCCATCAATTACCATCTTGTAAAGCCAAAAGCTGCATGTTTGTAAGAAACAAATTTATCAAGAGATTTTTAACTTCAAATCATTATTTCTGGCTAAAATATAAGTCCTCTATACATAATATTACCTTCTCCAGCGAAAAAGTCATCTTGTCTGAATCAGGAGAGAAATATGCAGAGATCAAGCAAAAACAGTCCAAAACATGACTTTTCTTGTTTTTTTTTTTCGCTTAAGCTTATTTTATGAGAGGGCACCCATTCACTGCAGAGGATCCACTGGAGAGCAAGTGATGTAATGCTAAATTTCTCCACATCTGTTGAGAAGAAGAAACAAACTCATCTACATCTTGGATGACTTGAGGGAGTAAATTTTCAGCTAATTTTCATTTTTGGGTGAACTATTCCTTTAAGTGTCAAACATCAATTATTCTCAAGTGCCTCTGCTACATATAAACTTGAACACAATCCATCTGCCGCACCTGTGCCCTGCACAGACGCTTCTAAAAACAACCCTCTGCAAATACGCAGAGAAGCCCATGTGACAAGACTTTAAACTTTCAGGAGATGAAGAAGACAGGACAATATAAATACATCTACAATTAAAAATAAGGTGCTGGAGTGATTATACACTTCATATTCAGTATAATAACATATAAGCTAACAGGATTTGATTACTGCAATACATCTGGATTTGGTTATGGCAGGCGGACACAGCTACTACATGTTTATTGGCTGAAGAGCTGTTCCAAAACTTTGCAATGCTCATGTCCCACAGCACCCTCTGCTGTGAGACATGAGTACCTATCAACATTTCACATGGCAGCTAATGGGAATCTCAACTGGTTAGACTAAACCGACAAAGCGTAAACGTCTATGGCTAGAGTGTGTGAAATGCAGAAATGCGATGCTAAATGCTAATCCTGTAGCTCATACAAATGCATTAAACAACAAAAATAATGAGAACATTTCTTTCTGTAATACGAGAAGCTTATTTGAACAGTATATAAAATATCTTTATGAGAATAAGATAAAAGAAAATTTGCACAGTTTAAAAGGAATATTCAGTGTCACACACTGTTCAAACACCCGCTGGAAGTCTTAGACCTCACTCAGCATGTTTGGAAACCCCTATGAGAGTGATTCACATTGGATGTGAATCAAAAAGCTCATGAGGAGCTACTGCAAGCTTTGGGTTTCAGACAATAAACAATCAAAGGAACTTCAACCTTATATTCAAAACTAGTTGTTACCAGAGTTACCATTTTCAGTGGAAAACAGAGCCGGGGGAGATGGAAGACCTACGATAGAGTGAACGAAGGGTAGTGACTTGACCTGGTGGAGACTGGACGCCTCACCGGGAGGGGTCATGGGGTGGCTGGGTAACTGATTGGCTGGTGTGTCCATATCAGTTGACTTGGGGTCCAGGGCCACAAGGTTGGTGGCATCAGATACCACAGGGTTGCTGACCTGGAAGCACTTCTCCTTGTGGGCTTTGAGCATGTTGGAGAAGCGGAAACGCTGTCCGCAGACGTCACAGGGATACGGCTTCTCGCCAGTGTGAGTGCGGCGGTGCCGTTTCATATTGGGCCGGCTTGTGAAGCTCTTTCCACAAATCTCACAGATATATGGTTTCTCTCCTGGAGCAGACAAACAGATGGAAGAACTTGGATTGAGAATATATAAATTATTTTTAATTAACTTTTTAGCCATTTTTATTTTTTAATGATAGTAAAAAAAACATAATTATCACTATTAATTAATTATTATAATTATATCTTATTAATATATTATAATTATTTAAAATAATTGAGTAGTAAATACAGGTAAATAATATGACATATAACAATAAATATTTATTATATTTATTTATTATTGTATTATAATTGTTTATAATAAAAAAATAGTCATATATTACTATTGTGTTGACTGTGATTATGATGGGCACCAAAGTGGTGATTCTCACCAGTGTGTGTCTTCATGTGTTCATCAAAGTATTGCTTCATGTTGAAGTCTTTCCCACACCACTGGCACATGAACTGCTTATGTCCGATATGGATGCTCATATGCGACCTCAGCTGGTATTTGTACTGGAATCTTTCACTGCAGTTCTACAACATGAGCAACAGCATCAGATACAGTAGATTAGAATTTACATCTGTGCTCCTCTGCTTATAGTATTGGTACTAAATCTAATTGGATTTGGGATAACAACATTTCACAAAGTTAGAAATGATAAAACATTGGACACTGTTTAAAAGACTGGTTCTAATCTATTCATCAAAAATAGTGAAAAATAAATGTTTCCTGTTTTCCATTTAAAAAATGTAATCAGCACAACTTTTATCAACATTAATAATAAGAAATATTTCTTGAGCAACAAATCAGCATATGAAAATGATTTCTGGAGGATCGTGACACTGAAAACTGGAGTAATGATGCTGAAAATTCAACTTTGCCATCACAGAAATGTTACATTTAAAAAATATAATAGAAAATTAAAGAAAACTAGAAAATGGTTATAAATTGTTTAAATGGGAGTTGACAATATTACATTTTTGATCAAATAAATGCAGCCTTTGAAAACACAAGAGACTTTTTCCGCGACTGATAATCCGCATGACTGAACTCACCTCACACTTGAAGGGCTTTTCTCCAGAGTGCTGCAGAGAGTGCACTTTAAGAGACATGCTGCGTTTGAAGGACTTCCCACACGTTTCACAAGTGAATGGCATATCCTTAGTGTGAGCTGCAACAAAATTACAGACAAAATTCCTATTTTAAAAATGACGTCTGCTTCTTGATTGCCTCAGAATGCTCATAGTAACAATTAACTGATAATAAAATGTATTAAAAACTTAATTTAACATCTTAATCACATGCCTCATTGCTCATTTTAAGGATAACAAGAGCGTTAGCTTGTGACACGGTTTAGTGTATAATAAGACACTGCATTATTACTGCACATACTCTGCTGTCAGTGTGAGATGAGCAAGTGTAACTTGTTGCCCTACAGCCAACCGAGTGGTTTTGGTAGAAGGAAGCATTTCTAGATAAGATATTTCCTCTCTGCTCTCAGGGCAGATTAAACAATACAGCCTCTGTCCTCGGCTTAGTCTGTTCTGGATGGTAACGTAAGGTCACAGCGGCTCTTTTCCCCTGCTCAAAACAGAGCTGGGTATTTCACTATTGTGTTGGACCAAGCTCTGGGAAGATCAAACTTCAGGAGATGAAAGTACCGTATGGTATGAAGGCCAGGGTGTGCTTATTACATCTGCCTAAGGTTAATTTACGCAACAATATGTCTTTGTGCGTATGACAGAGCTGCTGTATTTTGCAGCATCTTGACTGCCACCTAGCTGTGACAGGCGGTGGTATTCTTTGATGTTAAAATGGATCCACCAAGTTCATTTGTTAAAGGGGTCATATGATGCGATTTTTTTATTTTTCCTTTCTCTTTGGAGTGTTACAAGCTCGTGGTGCATAAAGAAGATCTGTAAAGTTGCAAAGACTAAAGTCTCAAATCCAAAGAGATATTCTTTATAAAAGTTAAGAGTCAGCCACACCTACCTAAAACGGCTCGTTCTAACACGCCCCCACATGTCTACGTCACTATGTGGGAAGATTTGCATAACGCCGCCCAAATGTTCACGCAAAGAAAGAAGGCGTAACTTTTATTCTCGCTGTAGTATTGTTGTTGCCGCTGCCGCCATGTCGTGAAGGCGCTGTGTGCTTCGTTGTGAAAGCAAAACTACTTTGTTTGGCCTTCCAAAAGAGGACGATATCTGCTTCGTCATGCCTGGAGCTGATCCGTGCTGGTCACTGAGGAAATACTTCAACTTCGCGCTGTCGATCGCCGGATCGGCTTTCACCGTGGACGAAGCGGAGTCCAGCCCGGGGTCACCCCATGTGGTTGCCGCAAGCAT